TTCTGCGCTTGGCCTAGTCGTTCTGCTCTGTGGGGCTCAGGTTCCCGGGAGCCTTTGCTACTGGGGCTTCGGGGCCCTGAGACAGCCCTGCGTCCCCTCTGCTTTCTTTATTTTATTTTTTAAAGATTTATTTACGCGTACAAGAGTGGGGTACAGGCTAGAGGTGTGGAGGGGGAGAGGATTCACCAGAGACAGAGTGAGGAGCAGAACAGGCAGATTGACTGAAGTACACTGCTGAGGGGAGCAGCGGGGAGACAGGAGAGGTCTGCTGCACCATGTGGGTAGCCCCCTGGCCAGGGGATCGAGCTCGTGCTGCAGAGGCTGCAGACAGCTTCATAGCGCTGTCTTAACCCTTGCGCCACCAGGGAGGAGCGCCCCCACCCCCCCCCGCCCCGTGCTTTCTTAACAGACGGGTCCATCCAGGTGCGGTGAGTGTCCGGAGCTTCGGGACACTGGCCTGAGCAGGCGTGCCTGCCGCGGGAGGCGAGGCTGCCGCGCTGGCTGCTTCAGCCGCTCACGGGAGGAGGGCCGGGGTGTGCTGTTTATTGTGGCGCCACCCCGCCTACCACGAGGTGCCTGGAGGGGTGCGGTGGGCCCCGGGCTGAGGGCCACTAGCTCAGTGGAGGTGTTGTGAGGCAGGGAGGCTCCCAGAGGCGCTCCTCACCGAGCCTTGGGTTTTGCCCCTCGTGCCACACAGCCGTGGCGGGGGCTGTCTCGGCTGCTGTTGCTGCTGATCTGACGTCTGGCCCTTGAGCAGAGCCAGGCCGGCGATGTCTTTGAATGTGAAAGAACCGTCCGGCCTGCCTGGGGTGGGTTTTCCCAGGCTGTAGCCCTGGCTGGAGCGGCAGCGCCAGCCTCTTGCCTGGCCGAGAGCGGGCCCAGCCCCGCGTGGCCGTATCGGGAGTCACAGTGCAGGTTGCTGAGGTTGGCGCTGCCCGGTTGGGTCTGGCCAGCCGGGTCCTCCTGCTCCCTCCGCGTCTTCAGCCCTTGGTTCACGCGGGGTCTGGGCCTGGCATCCCGGTAGAACACTGGGGTCGCAGCCGCCAGGTCAGTGCCCACATCTGCTGGCTGCCCAGCCTTGCCTTGGTCCTGGCCGGGCAGCACGGGGCAGGCGTGTGCTGGGGCAGGAAGCAGGTCCCTGTGTAGACCTCATTGTTTGGTTTTCTTTGCAGTTTGAAGAGGGCGAGGAAGGAGAAGAGGAGGTAAGGCCCGGCTCGCGAGAAATACCGTCCCTCCCGAGGTGGCAGCTCTGCGCTTCAGCTCTGCGCGCGTGGACGGGGCCGACCTCCGGGTCCCGGTCATCCCACGGCGGGGTGCCACCTTGGCCGCGGTCAGCCCTGGGAACTGAGGGGAGGCTCGAACGGTGCTATGGCCAGCTTGACCCCGAAATTCGTTTATGAAAAGACAGTCCTGGGCCCAGCTGAAGCCGCTTTGCCAGCGACCTGTGTCCGGGTTGTCTGTGGACATGGGAGTGGCGGGAAGTCGTAGGGGTGGCGGGAGGAGGCGCTTGGGCGGCGGCCAGTGACGGGGGGCTGCCTCCAGTCGGGGTGTTGCTCTGCCTTGCTGGTGGCTAGTGAAGCCGCGGAGTTTAAATTGTGCCTGTCCAGCCAGTTCTCATTCCTCTTCGTACAGGAGTTGGAAGGTGATGAGGAGGGAGAAGAGGAGGATGATGCCGAAATGAACCCCAAGGTGGGTTCCCAGGGGGGCGGGGGGTCCTAGCGGACACGTGAGTAAGCCACTCTGAGAAAGGGGCGCGGGTTGGGGGTGTTTTAAATCGCCGGGGCCATTTTCCACTGGCTCTGGCACAGAGAGCGCGCAGTGGGCGCAGGCCCGTGGAGCCGGCCCCGGAGCTTTGCCTCAAGGGAGCGGGTGCCCACGTCTCCCATCTCGTCTGCTTCCGGGACAGCTTCTCCCCAGTGGGCACAGGTCACTTGACAAGCAGAGCTGTGGGGACGGCCCGGAAGTCCGCGCGTGTGGCGGGGCCCCTGCCCTTCCCAGCAGTACCTCCATGCAGGGTGTGCAATGCACACCCACCCCCGATCGGACCCCGATGGCTCTTGGCTCCCATGCGCCGGCCCTTCCTGCCACGCTGGCCGCTCCTTTCCAGTTTTCCCCGCGGAGGCGTGAGTTCTGTCGGTTGGCCGCACGGGCGTCCTCGCATCCGACTTCCGAGCCTCTGGTCTGTGCGTCACAGGCGCGCAGCTCTGGCCAGAGGGCCTGCGCCGGGCCCACGTTCTGGCCTGGCTGTTCCTGCCGCCCTCAGCAAAGATGATGTGGTGTGGCGCTTTCTCTTGGCCTCCAGAAAGAGGGCAGAGCCGGAGGGCTGGGAGGGTCACGCCCAGGAGGACACTTCCTGTGGCCTTGGCTGTAGTGCGTCGAGTTCCTCCTTGGGGAGACGGCTGCAGGGGCGGGGTGGCCTCCCATCCTCTGGGCAGCCGTGGTGTCCTGGGCCCGGGGTACAGCAGCCCCTTACGGTTCAGTTGCTGAACTTGTGTGAGGGGCCGGGGGTAAAGATGGAGCTGCGGCTCTGCATGGGCGGGGTGCTGCGGGGCTGCCGCCAGCTCGAGGGGAGTGACAAGTGGGCCCTGCTGCCCGTGCAGGATCGCTGGTCCCTGGGGAACCCCAACATGCCCCCATTGGTGTCTTGCAGTGGCCCTGGGCAGAAAGCCTGCCCCCGGGGCCTGCCAGGAGGCTGCTGCTCTCAGCATGTGTGGGGACCCATCCCCTGCGCGCGCGCACCCAGCCTCGGTTTCTCTCCGTCACTGAAGCTCTTGTTTTCTCGTTGACAGAAGGAGCCCAGCCAGCCCTCTGAGTGCAAGCAGCAGTGAGCACGCCCTGGGCGCCGGCCGCGCCGAGGCCCCTGCATGGTCTCCGCCCAGCTTCCCCCTCGTAGTCTTTTGCTTAGCCTGTACAGTGGCACCTCGAGTGCGCGTGCGCAGTAGGAGGTTTCACGCCTGCACCCTGGACGGCCTGGGCCCAGCTCCGACGACTGACCGGGCCCGGCGGCGGCTGGGGACCCAGGCAGAGATCTGGGTGGGAGCGTCTCCCGCAGCCGGACGGCCCTGGTTCGGGGGTGGGGGCGGGGGGCCACAGCCCTGCTGGGCGGGCCTGGTCTCCTCAGAGTGTTCTTTCTTTGGTTTCGTTTTCCTCGGGGTGGGGGGGTGGGGGCCGTGTGCACACTGACTCCAAGCGAATGCTTTTGAGGTCCACCCCGTATTTATTTATTCCTTCATGCTTGTAGGGGCTTGGGCGCGTGCCGCTGCCCGTCCGCGGGCGGCCCTGGAGAGCGGGCGGCTCGGCTGGCGAGAGGCGGCCCCCGCCCGCTGCGCCCTGGCAGGGGTGCCTGCTGTCCCGACAGCTGCGCGGGTGGGGCCGGGGCAGAGGTGGGGTGTGGGCTCCCGGGGAGGGGCTGGGCTGGGCGCGTCTCCCGTAGTGTGTGTTTCGGCGTCTCGGCAGCGCCGGGCCGGCTCCCACCGGGCTGGCGGGCGGGTTCCGGGCCTGCGAGCAGCCTGCGTGCTCGGCCTCACCCGTCCTTTGTACCTGAAGACGTGTTTTCAATTTGTACAGAATAGTTAGAATATTCTATTAAAGTTGTGGGACGGAAGTCCGTGCCGTGCTGCGGGCTGGCGGGGGGGGGGGGAGGTGCCCTGCGTCTGCACTGGGGTCTGCCGTGGGGCCCGGCACCCCGGTGGGCCCCTCCTGAGGGGGGCCTGTGCTGCCAGGAGGCCGGTCCTCGGGGTTGCAGGCAGCGCCTTCTGGAATGGACTCTGCACACGTGGGCCGCACTCAGGGGCCACCGCTGGCCCTGCCGTGGCAGGTCTTCCTGCCCGAGAGCCAGGGTGTCCAGGGCTCCGTCCTGCCAGCACGGCCCCGACGGAACTCCTTAGCGGGGACAGCGTGCGCGCCCCGTCCCCTGGGGCAGGCCATCCGGCCACAGAAGACCCTCTGGGAAGCCTTTGTCCCACCCCGTGGGAGCAAGCACACCCACCTCTCCCCCCGCCATCACTGGAGGGGCGGGCTGTCCGCCTCCGCAGGCCACTGTGGGCTTGAGAAAGCAGGGTGCACGCGGCCTGTGCCCGCCCACAGGCAGCCTTCAGGACGGCCAGGTCAGCGGGCGAGTCACCTGGCACAGTCTGTGGGGAGGACGGCTGAGCCGTTGCCCCTCGGGCTAGAGCAGAGGGGGGACCCCTGGGCTTGGCCTGTGGTGAGCTGGGTGAGGCAGCACCCGGACAGAAGCGACGCCGTCATGGCGGAGGGCACAACAAAGATGGGGTATCTGGCTGGGTGGCCCCTGGAGCTAGTGCAGGCCAGCACAGCAGCTGGCTACAGGGGAGGGCTGCCGCAGCGAGGAGCCAGCGCCGCGGGGGGCTCTGCTATCTGGGGGTGCCTGCTGCTGGGGGTCTCCAGACTGCGGGCGGGCAGGGAGGGCACTTCCCGCTCCTTTGCCTGGTGCCCGGTGATCCCGGCCCGGCTGGAGGGCTGGCCCTCCCCGCGCGCCTTTCCAGGCCACTCCCCCCTCGTCGCCTCTGGGGCGCTGGTTCCCGAGGCCAAGGGGCCTGGGTCCGGACATGCCCACAGCAGCGGCCCGCTGCTCTTCTGAGCCCCGTCCCGTGCCGGCCTCAGCACCCCGACTTCAAGGAGACGCTTCCACCCCAGGGCTGGGGGAGTTGGCAGGGGGCTCTCCAGGCTGTTCGGACCCTTCCAGCGGTTGAGAGTCCACACGCCATTATTGGGGTGCTGCAGTGGCACCGTGGGGTTGGAAGCAGTTGGGAGGGCGTGGCCACTCCCGCCCCCCTCAGCGAGTGTGCCGGGTGCTTGCCTGTGAGGTCCATCTCCAACTGCCTGCCCAGAATTGGGGTGATGGCACTGAAGATTGTGCCTCTGAGGGAAGATGCCCCCCAGGTTGCCTGGCCTTGTCCGGACCTGTGCCAGGTGGGCACGTGGCAGGTGCCCTGGTCTCATCTGACCTGCCGTCTGCTCTGCTGCTGGCCTCGGCCCCTCTGGGCCCAGCGTCTCCCTGGCCCGCCTGTCGCCCAGCTGGGTCGGCTCCTGCCGCCGGCACACCTTTGCCCTGCCCGTGGGGAAGCCTGGGGGGCTGTGTCAGCGCCCCTCTGACACCCTGATGGGTCCTCTCCCATCTCTTGGCACCACTGCCCTGGGGGTGCCGGGGGCTGCCCCAGGAGCCGTGGGCGAGGTGTCCCCCCACACCTGGCCCCCTCCAGCTGCTGCTGTGATGGAGCCGCTGGCCCCGCGGCCGCATCAGCGCCCACCCAGCCACAGCCCAGAAGCCCTTCCCCTGGGCGTCCGCCCCTCCCACCCGGGGGCACAGCCATCCGCGGGGAGCCCAGGGGGCCGGACCCCGCGTGTGCGGCCCTGGCGGGGAGCGGGCCCCAACTGGTGGGCCTCAGGGCCCCGCTCGGCTGGCGCCTCGCGCCCTCTGAACTTGGGTTCTGTGTGCACCTTCGGTCCCTGCGGCCTGGAGACCCCGCCGGCCCCGCCCAGACGCCCCCTCCCGGGCCAGTCATCCCGGGGCCCTGGGCGGGGCCCGCCGCCCTGATGTCACCGCCCGTCACCGCCGCTGCCCTGGCTGACTCAGCCGTGGGAGCGGAAGTCACTTTCCTTGACCCGGCAGCCTGGCTTTCTCCCCGACTGGCCCCGGGGGTTCCCAGGCCCGGAAAGGGCCACACCTGCGGGCACCCTGGAGTCTAGGGTGCCGGGTGAGGCCCAGCCTTCCCGGGCCAGCGCTCCCCACTACCCCTCCTCGCCCCCCGCGCGTGCAGAGCGAGGCTGGGGCGCCTCGGCGAGAGGCCTGTGCTTCGGGGAGGCAGGGCACGTGGGGGGTGGGCCGCGGGCATGGGGCGGCCCTTGGGTCTGCGCTGCCGCTTCTGGGGCCCGGAGGAGGGTGGGAGGAGCCAGGCCGGGCCCCTGGGCCAGGTTCCCCTGTCCTGGGCCCACCCGCCGTCTGCAGGGGCCCCGCGTTGCCAGGGGAGCAGCCTGCCGGAGCTGGTCACGAGGTCCCCTGGGCCCGCCGGCCGCCTGCTCGTTCTGGGCGCCTCTGCCACCAGGCCGCTCGGGCCGGGCCGGTCCTGGGTCCCCCCACAAGTGACCGCGCCTGGCAGCCCGAAACCACAGGGTTCTCGGTGGCTTCCCTCCTCTGGGCCTTGGGGCCCCGTCGCGGCCCCCTCAGCCTCACGCCACGGCCGCCTGCCCCCCGTGCCTTCCAGGACCGTGGGGGCTCTTCGGGCTCTGCGGGCGCCTCCGACGTTTCCTTCCGCGTCAGCGCAGCTGTGACTTTGATCATTTCTTCAAGTCGGAAAAGCTTGAATAATACACACGGCGGGCCCTGCCCGCACCTGCCCACGAGAAGCCGGGGCCAGGAGTGGCCGCTGCCTGCGGGCGGCTCAGCTGACCACCCTCCAGGGGGGCGGCCCTGCTGCGCCTGGGCCATCTCCCCCCGCGCCGCCTCCGGGCCTCACGGAGCCCGCGGGCTGGCGGGCCTGGGGAGTCAGAAGCCCGGCAGTCAGGTTTAGGGGCCAGCAAACAAGTTCCCCACTTGCTGACCAGAGCCGGGCTGGGGCAGCGAGGTGGGGTGCTCGCCGATTTCAGCTGCGCTTACATTTTCTGAGCGCCAGGCTGGCCCCGGGCCCCCACCCCCAGACACCCCAGAACCTCTGAACAGGGCGCTGAGGGATGGGTCGGAGCTGGACAGGGTGCCGGACGGGCGGGGACGCAGGACACGGCCCGCAGTGAGCCTGAAGCCCGGCGTCCGCCTCCGCCGTCCCCTCAGCTTGCCGCCAAGAGGAAGGCAGCAGGGGGGCCGGGTCACAGGGCCAGCTGGGCTCAGGCTGCCTGGTGCAGGACTCCCCCAGGCGCCCCTGTATTGTGGTTGGTGGGAGGCAACTTGAGGGGGCGTCCCGGCAATCCAAAAGGACTTCCTGGAGGAGGCGAGAGGACCTCCCGGCTGCCCCAGCACCTCCGCCCACAGGAAGAGGGTGTGCGGCGCCCCGGGCTGGGCCGTGACGCAGCTGCAGGGCTGGTTGGGCAGGAGCCCGGGGCTCGGCCTCTGTGCGCTGTGGAAATGACCTCACGGGAGTTTCGAAGAGGCGCCTGTCCTGCCCTGGCCACCCACCCGCCGCCGGCAAGTTCCTGGCCGGGTGTTTGAGGACGAGTCTGTGCTCTGGGCTGGGGGATCCCCTCAGCCAGGCTCCCGCAAATGCTGGACGCAGCCCTGGGGGAAGCACCAGTTGGCACGGCCGACAGAACAGCCCCGCTGCCCCTTCCTGTCCTGAGGCGGGACCAGCACCCCCCGCCCAGCGCCAGCCAGCGCGGGCTGCCTCCTGCCCGGACCTCAGGGTGCCCCAGAGCAAGGCGACCGCGTGCCTGCCGGGCGTCTCCCACCCCGTTCCCTGCAGACCCAAGAAAGCAACCCCAAAGCCCCCACCTCGTGGTGGGGGGACTTTGAGGGGGCCACCAGGCCAGCGGCCCCTTGCTCTCCGGCCAGCAGCCACCTGCAGGGAGCCCCCCGGGTCGCTGCTCCTGGGTGTCCGGTGGCCTGGGGAAGGGCTCCCCCAAAAGATCGCACTTGGGTTGCCAGGTTAGAGCCCTCGTCCTTGTCCCTCCCAGCTCCTGGTCCCCACGGCCAGAGGGGCACCCAGACAAATCTCAGCCTGTGGGGGTGCTGCCGGCAGGCCTGCCAGGCTCCAGGTTCCTGCTGGTTTGTGGGAGCAGCTGCTGAGGCCAGAAGTGATCCCCTCTCCGCCCCGCCCCCGGCCTCCTGTAGAGGAGCTGCCTGGTTGGGCCCGACCCTCCGAGAGGAAGGGCCAAGAGCCCGCGGGCGGCAGCCCCTGGGGAGGGCGGCGGGAGTCAGCCTCCCCGCCCCCGGCCCCCCCCTCAGAGCTGGGCCCCCACCCACCCAGCCCCGGCCGCCGGTCCCCAGCGGGGCCATGTGCTGGGTGCCCCAGCCGGCTACACCCCCTTTTCCTACTCGCAAGCCTGTCTGTTCCTGGCGGGCCGGGTCTGTGAGGGGCG